AAGGGGAAGAACCACCTCTCACGGGTTACAGGCGCTTCTCTGGTTGCAGACAGACGGGGTATAATAATGACCCCAGAGGTCATCGTTCTGGGGCAAAGCCAAGGGGGAGATCTAAAACGAGATCCCCTACCCCCTCTCCACTCCCTTCACGATCGGGTCGCTCGTCACGATCCCATCCGGGATCTCAGGGTTCAAATGGGTCAGGAAGAAAAAAGAAAGGGAATTTGAGTGGTAGCAAAGGCAAATCCGCAAGCTCTGGCTTGAACAGATCCCCAAGTCCGGCAAAGAGTGAACCAAAAGTCATTTCGCATCACTCAGGGTCGAAGGTGGCTTCGGAAAATAATTCGGTGGCAGGCTCAGAGAAGGAGGAGGGGGACCCCTTGGGAAGAAATGCAGAAAGTGGGGAATGTGAAGGTGGAGGAAATAACTCAATAGTGGTGGAGGTGGGGCGTAATGTGTTGGTGCAGGCGGTAAAAGCGGTCATTAGCAAGGATAAAGGGAGAAGAAGTGAGCACTCCCCCTTTAAAAAATCACGGACGAAATCACCGGATCGAGAGGACACTGGTAGCAGAAGCGAACGGAGCAGTTTCGCCTCGGGCCATGCAGAGTTGGTAAATAAGGATTCTGGGAATCAGAAGGCTGCTCACCACACAGTCCTGAGGGAAGTAGAGCCGCGAACAACTTTGGGGAGAGGCGATAAGGACATCCCCAAAATCCTTGTACCTTTGCTATGTGCCAAATCCGATAAAGGGATAATGGTTCTAGCCTCTCAAGCCAATGATGGCTGGTTGGAACTGGCCACAGCAAACGCCGGCCCTCACTTACGGGGATCGTGATTTTGAAGAAAGTCTCACAGATCATCCCGGAAGGCTTAAGAATCCGAATTATTCCACAGACTCGTGTTGAAGGACAAATTGTCGAAAATAAGAAAGGCGATAAATTCCGATTCTATTTTGTCCCAATGGAAATTCAGATGAACAATGAGACCAACAATATAATTTATGCGAGAGACAGAAGTTGGTTTCCCTTGGTCTCTTTGCTGTCTCCCTTGAACCCAGAACTGTAAAAAATCAAGGTCATACAAGGGGTATCGGCGGCGGTGATTGCAGAATGGCTGACCACGTCCTCTCTGAGAGAGGCTTTGTTGTCTTCTCAGATATTTACGTTGATTCAGGAACCTTGGGAGAATACCTCACAAGAAGAGGAAACCAGGAGAAGAAAACAGTCTCAAGGAGGTCAGGGGGGAACAGGCCGTATCCAGTCAATAGTCGGCAGCGATGCTCAGGATGCCTCTTAGAGGCAAACTGAATCTGGTTTCATGGAATGTGCGGGGTCTCTGCGACACTAATCATAAGCAGAAACGCAACCGCCTGAAGTCTTGGATTCATGGGAAAAAGATTCAGGTGGTTTATCTACAAGAAACGAAACTTAATGAAAAACGCTGTGCTCATGCGGTTAACTCGTGGAGTGGCCAACAGTTTTGGTCACCGGCTCAAGGCTCAAGAGGGGGAACCGCTATCCTGTTTCATAGGGATTTAGAAGCGGTAGTTATAGATTCTGTAGTTGATTTGTGGGGCCGATGGGTGTGGGTGAAGTTTGAAGTGGGTTCAAAGGATTGGACCGTGATGTCAATGTACGTCCCAAAAGATTACAATGAAAGAATTATTTTTTTATCCGAGTTACCTGGAATTATTCCAGACTCTGAAAATCTAATCATTGCAGCAAACTGGAGTACTATACTCAACCCAGGACTGGATAGTCCAAAGGTTAGCCCTATAAGAACGGACGACAGGTTACCTCAAAGCTTCCTGATTACAACTAAGTTAGTGGATGCCTATAGGGTTTTGAATCCGAATGCCCACGAATACACCTGGTTCGGATCTCAAACCCCTCCGGTGCGAAGAAAGTTGGACTTCATTGCAATGAAGGGCCTTCCTTGGTAGGACTGCACATCTGTTGAAATCGTGTTCTCAGACATATCCGACTATAGGCCTGTAGTTGCCGAGTTCCAATTGAGAGAAGCACCCAAAAGGAGCCCCTCTTATTACAAGTTGAATATTACTTTATTAAAGGATCCTGGGGTAATTCTCTGGACACAGCGTCAGTTGGCCTCATGGGCAGAGGTCAGAAGTCTATTTGGTTTTGAACAAGACTGGGTTGAGGTTGGTATCCATATTCTACAACGGGCCTTTAACGTTTTCTCACAAATTAAGGCACAGACAAGGAGAATAAAGGAAAGGAAAATTATTAAAATAATTAAACTGGTTGAGGATAGCCTAGGACAGGATGAGGTGTCCGATGCCTATTGGTCAATTGTGAGAAGGAGAGCCTTGGCCAAATTAGAACAAGTGCATATTCAGGAACAACTGCAATGGAAAGAATGGTTAGAATAGAAAAATATCTGCACCGGGGACAAACTTACGGAGGAAACTTTCAGATGCTTGATTTCCCAAAAAAAACACTGCCCAATGAAGGAACTGGCACACCCGTTCTCAACACAACCCCTGATTTTGAACGATCTACAACAAATGTGTGAGTATGCACGTTTGTATTTCGAAGATATCCTCACTACTCGGCGCCCGTATGACGACATGGATTCAGATTTAAAAGCCACAAGTACCTTTTGGAACCGTTCGCAAAAAATGCTACCTCAGACGGCTTGGTTAGACCTAGATAGACCTCTAACCTTGGATGAACTGTTGGTAGCAGCGAAAAGGATGGCAAAAGGCAAATGCCCAGGGGAGGATGGACTCCCGATCGAAGTGTATTTATCGCTATGGCCGCAACTGGGTCCTATGTTACTCAACATTTTTAATAATGCTCTAACAGGGGGGAATCACACTAAGAGTATGTCGAAGGGGGTCATATCATTGATATATAAAAAGGGTGATAAAAAGGAAATTCGCAATTGGAGATCAATTTCACTATTAAATGCATCTTATAAACTGTTAGCCAAGACCCTGTCCATACGGTTGGCGAAGTATTTGCCAGAGCTTATTGGGAAAGAGCAAGGAGCTTTCGTGAAATATCGAAGCATCATGGACAACATAGCTTCAACTATTCAAGCTCTGAAAATAATCACAAAGGATAATCTAAATGTAGCTATCTTCCTACTTGATATGAGAAAAGCCTATGATCGTGTAGGTTGGGCCTTTGTGATGACTACATTAAAACACATGGGCTTCGGTGGACCTTTTTGCCAATGGGTCAAAATCATGTACTGTGAGTCTGTCGCAACAGTCATAGTGAATGGTCAACAATCTAATGAATTTGTTCTCACTCGCTCCCTGAGACAGGGCTGCCCTTTAGCCCCGCTTTTTTTTGCAATCCATCTGGAAATCTTATTGGACAACATTAGATTTAATACAGAGATTCATGGGTTAAAATTGAATTCGAGGCTTCAATGGAAAGGTGGAGCCCTTGCTGATGATTTGACTATCGTCTGTCATAATGAGAAGGGTCAATTACGAGCCTTGAGAAGAGTACTAAATACCTACTGCGAACTATCTGAGGCCTCTATTAATTGGAATAAATCAACCTATTTTTTACCACATGTGTATACTCTGGGAGTAAATTGGGGCCTGAGGGCGGTTCCAGCATATGCTTCAGAATGTTTTCTGGGAATACAGGTGTCACGGTCAGACAACTCGGAATACCAAGACGCCATATTGGTGGACAAATTCATCAACAGAGTTCAGAGTTGGAAGCAGACACGTCATCTTTCTCTGCTGGGGAGGGCACTCGTTTTGACTTCAGCTGTAGGTTCGATTTTATGGTTTACACTGGCAGTGCATTACCTAGGCAGCCAAATATATCAAAGGATAAAACAGGTGTCAGGTCGGTTCATTTGGAAACCGGAGGCACACAAACACGAAGGATATATGTCAAAGGTTGCTTGAAAAACTATAACTTTTCCAAGACACCAGGGAGGACTTGGGATCTTAAACCCAAGACAACAGAATCTTGCTCTGTTGGCTAAATGGCCAACTAAGGCCTTAATTTTTGTGAGAGACGAACCCTGGTTGACCCTGGGTCCGCAAATCTTATCTGAAGAATGGTCTTTAAGCAGGGCAGAAGATGTGCTGGCTTGTTTGATGATGCGGTCATACATAAATAGGAAGCTGAAGTCAAAGCTGAAGTCAAAGTTCTGGCGGGATATCTTAATGGCTTGGAAGAAGCTAATCCCACTTGAGAAGGAACATCCGACCTCAAAAGCCTCTGTGCTATTGGAAAGTTTGTTTGAGAACCCCCATATTAAGGACGAGCAAAATAATATTTTTCTCGCTAATGGAGGAGCAGGTCACTTCGGTAGAAGCTGGATAGAGAAAGGGGTGGTAAGAGTGAGAGATATTTGGGATGAGGATAGACTGGATTGGATAGAGATTTCCTTGCTTAAACAGAAGTTACCTAGAATGAGGGGTACTCAACAAAAGTTGCAGCGATTGATAAGGTGCATTTCTGATAGCTGGAAGAGAATGCTGAGGGCGAATCCTGTAGGAGAGGATGGCTTATGGGGCCAAAAAGGGAGTGTCGATGGGTCTGAGGAGGTCTGACAAGTTATTGGTCCGGCATTGGAAGGGGGTTTCGAGGCATATAGGTGGCACAAGTTTGCGGACTCTTCATTCACGAATGAAATTTATCAGGGAGAAAAGACAAACCTAGATAGAATATCTGACCTCCAGGAAGTTCTGGTCTCGGCGCCCATAATCTGCAAAAATGCCCCCTTGGGTCCTAAAAAGAGGAAGTTGATAGCACAAGGAAGGCTTCTGGCCTCGCTAGGACTAAATCCAGTGTCTGTTGGTTGGTTCAGCACAGAGAAACGAAGGACCATAACTCTAGATGAGTACAAGCCAAAAGTGGGGACGGAGTACCTAAGGCGAAAGATTAAGAAATACCCGCTTGCTACGGTTGCTAAGAGACGTTCAGAACAAGGCTTGTTGGGTACAACGCAAGATAGCATGCAGAGACTGTGGGTGGAGTTGAAGGGTCTCCCATCCCAGAAGCTAGCCAGTATGCTATGGCTACAAGCAGTGTTAGCCACAACGTCAGCGGTTTGGTTAGTGGCGAAAGGAATGGAGATATCTACCGTATGTCCAAGATGCAGGTGGGGGTGGGAGACCTCGAGACACCTATGGCTTACTTGCCCTGCGTCAAGGCGTATCTGGGATTGGTGGATGCAACACTGGTCAGACGAATGGATCTTGATAGGCTGCATTGGAGGGAATCAGGACTGGAAATATGTGGCCCAGATAGCAAGAGCAGAAATCATGAAGACAATCTGGGAGGATAGAAACAACCAACTGTTTCGAAGTCAGTGCATGTCCGACATACAGATCAAGAAACAAATCATGGCGGATTTGAGGAGGACCATTATTTGTGATTGGAGTAGACGCAAAAAACGCGGTATTAATCAAAACCAATTGCAGTATTTCAGGGAAACCTGGGGGAGGAATTTAAGAATGGTAACGGTTGATGACAGGGGGAAGTTATCTTTTTGCTCTTGGTTACTATCCACAATAGGTCATGGGGAACGTTTTAGTTCCCCTCCTTGAGCAACAGTTTCTGCCCTTCTGTTAAATTTTATGAGACTGTTTTCCTCACTCAGGAGTTTCACATTCACCTCCAACTGGGCATGATAGACTTGTATTGTTTTAAGTGGTAGGTGGATGTGTTGGGAGTCCAGAGGCAGGCCCGGATGTCTCGGAACTCCCACCCTTTTTTTATGAGCTTAATGGACTATTATTTTTGGAGGAGTATAAGGCTGTAGGACAAGTTTGGGGGACGCTGGACCCGGTTTTCAGCATTTAGCCGGTTCTGGGTAATGGCCCCAGTAATTCCGGGTAGAATTGTGAGGTCCCCGGCCTGGAAACTTGTTATTGGTAATAAAATTATGTACTTTCTCCAAAAAAAATAAAAATAAAAAATAAAAAATAAAATCACCGCTTCATTGGTGTGGCGAGGCCCTAAGAGCTTGGTTTTTGTTCTAAGAAAAAAAAAAAAACAAAAAAAAAACTAGTAAATAAACTATACTATTCGCTGGCATGTGGGCCGAGGCCCCCGGCCTCATACAGCCCCCTCCCCTTTTGGCCTTCCATCAGCTACGCACTTATGGGCTGCGCCCCCGCGCCCGCGCAGTGAGTCAATGGAACGGTGCAAAAAGTGTAGTGCAAGTGCAGATTAGTGTATCGAACGAGGAGCATACTGGGCCAGGTTTGGGGCTTTCTTTTTCAGCTCTTTTTGGGGCGCCGTATTCGGGCATCCTCTATTTTTGTTACTCTTTTCTTATCCCAAAACCAACGTATCCTTTTCGGCTTTTGCTGGCCGGTTCTGCCCATTTCTTGGGGCGGTCATCCCATTGGTGCTATGTTTGTGATATGCTATGCTAGGATGCACCTCGTAAGTTGACAGCCAGTTCACTCGACGGGCCCAGGAGGAGCAGGGAAGCACGTATGCTGTTGACCGGGCTGCGATCGGGTGTTGGAAGGGCGGCGCGAGCTTGAGATCAGGGCAGGTGAGCAGAAGTGGAAACGGTGGCCTGCTCTTCCGCCGTCAGGTCTGGTTCCGTCACCCTCTGATCGGGATGATCTAGGAAGGAGGTATGGCAGAGTATGCTCCGAAGGCGGGACGAGGACGTACGACGGCTGTCCTTATGTTGGGTGGATTGACGTCTGAGTTGGATTGCATGACGCGACCAGCACTGTGATCTGTTCGGTGATGATGTCTCATACATGTCGGTCGTGCCCTGCATGATGTATGCAGACTGGTGAGAGGTGTGCAATCTGTGTGTGTGTGTGTGTGTGTGTGTGTGTGTGTGTGTGTGTGTGTGAGAGAGAGAGAGAGAGAGAGAGAGAGAGAGAGAGAGAGAGAGAGA